GAAGGGCAGTGCGATCCTGGACAACCAGAGAGCAGTGCGTAAGGGGGAGTGGAACTGCACTCATACTTACGTGCTGGACCGGGCAGTGGCCCTGGACACAATGTCGCAGTTCAAAAAACCCCTCAGCATAGCCTGGGTCGACATCCAAAAGGCCTTCGACTCGGTATCCCATAGTTACCTTCTATGGGTTCTTAAGTCAGTCTGTACTCCTCGTAAGATCCTCCGGATCTTACAACGGCTCATGAGCTGCTGAAGTACGCAATACGAGCTGCGAAGGCCTAGAGGACTAGTCCAAAGCCCGCTGCTGAAGGTGGTTCGTGATATCTTTTAAGGAGTTACCCTTTCGCCGACATTGTTCATCCTTGCTATCGCACCATGCGCTCAACGATTCAGTCCCCTCCTCCCTCCGCTAAAATCATCTTCGGGGGGTTTAAACGTTTCGGATTCCATCTGGGCCACCAATTCTATATGGATGATCTTAAGCTATATGCACGGAATCCCAGGGATTTGGGACGCCAAATTGAGGGAGTAAAGGAGGTAGCTGTGGCTGCCGGTATGACTATAAACGTGGGGAAGAGTGCGCAAGTCCACTATGATCCGCACGCAAGGGAGGACCCGGATTTGGAAGAAGGTGGAGGTGGTGGTATAGATTTACCAATGTTGGCCCCCACCGAAGCCTATAAGTACTTAGGAGTGGAGCAACGCGTGCTGGCTACGGATCGGGCTATCGAGCGATTCGAACACGCTCTGACTGCGAAAGCAGAACTCATTTTCGGCAGCAATCTTACGTGTGGTCAGATGACCCACGCGTATAGGTCGATTGCGGTGGCTGGCATGCGGTATGTCTACCAGCAGACTTCTGGCGGCGGAAGTTGGTTGGAGCCCTACCCCGCGCCATGCGTATACGTGACGTGCTTAGGGATAATAAATGCCGGTACCGCAAGAGTACCGTCGACCGGCTTTATGTCCCCGGCGAACTAGGTGGATGTTGGTTAGAGTCCCTTGAGGACTGCCTGCGGGAATGTATCATAGCCACCTGGGCGTACGTCACTACCCATCCATCCATGCGCTCTCAACACTATCTCTTTGAGCAGCTTGCCTCACGAAGCAAGAGGAGCCCCATCACAGATGGAAATCGGATTCTCCGGGAGGAAGGTATCCAGTTCCACTGTGATATCAGGACCAGCAACGTCGGTATAGATGATCGGGTATTCAGAAACCCTACCGACCTCTTCCGGTGTTTGAGGGGTATCCTACGCGATAAAGCCTCCAGCAAGCGTAAAACTGAGTGGGAAGCCCAACCACAAGCAGTAAAATAGGTTAAAAGAAGAAAAAAAACTTAACCTAGACGAGTCGCGCCAAAAAAAGCTACCCACTGATTTCATACTTGCTATCGGACTTCTAAAAGACACTTTTTTGTTACGAAATGGGACCAAAAATGATTCTTACAATAGTTAGGAAAAAATAAGCTTTAGACGCAAAGTGCTGCGTAGCATTTGGTATTCACTAAAGCTCCACTTGTATGAATTTGATCGGTATATCTCAGTGCCATATCTCACTTATGCTTCTTGAACAACCGAATGGGCCAAGATGCTTTAGAAGCCTGATACTGGACACACATAAATACTGAAATATCTAGTCTTCGACACTGCATCGCTTGTTGGGTGCAGTAGCGAAACATAGCTTAGAAAGAATAAATCGGGAGTAAAATCTCGATCCAACCGACTGATCTTAATCCCAGAGAGCCGTTCCTTTACGGCATTACAAAAGTG